TTTGATGCTAACATAGTCACAAGGCAACATTAATTCATTTGGAAATGATAATACTCCATGTTAGTCACTATTTTTGCAGCTGTTTTCCCTTGTCAAGTTTGTTTGAAACTGAACCCAACAGAATTGGTTATGGTGAAAGAAAATAAAGCAAATGACTATGTCAACTTTATGTTTATTTTCCTCACTGTAGAAGGAGAGACAAAAAATAAAATACACAGTTTGTAAACATCTTCCTCCTCCCATTGACATTGCTGTAATTCAGGGACTCACCATGTTTCAGGAACGTCTGGGTAGTCTTCCCAATTCCACCTCTCCCCATTCTCATCTGCTGAACACTGCAGCCAGACTTATCTTTCTAACACTCAGTTATAGTCTTTGTTACTCTCCTGCATAAAACATTTTAGTAGTTTCCAATCTCCCACATAATAACGAAACTCCCCAGCCTGCCACCCTAGGCCCTGATTATCTAGAAGCTGCCTTTATGTCCAGTCTTGCTTCTCATCTCCCACACATATTCTCTGTGTTCCAGCATAGTAGATTTCTTCCATTCTATAAATATTTTTTAAGTGTTTAATTCATCTCGGGCTTCAAGCTAGGTGCTAGGATTCAAAGGTAAGTAAGAAACGGTCTTTGCCCTGAAGGAGCTCACAGTCCAGAGTAGGAGATGTACTAAAAATGCGGTGCGTAAGTGCAGCATGTGATGATATCTTCCCCTGTACATTCCAGTGTTCTTCCTGCATGGAATAAACTTTCTGTTACATATTTCCTGTCAAACTTCTATCTATCCTTCGAGACTGTGCTCAAATTTCACCTCCTTTTAGGAGGTGAGGCACAATTAATTACTTGAAAGATGTGTTAACATTTTGTGTATAATTCTATTAGAATTTATTTCACATGCATTGTCTTTTTTATACATATCTGTTTCCACACTGATCTGTGAGCCACTTGCAGGCAGGGCTCACTAATCACACAGCTTTAACACCATGCTCAATGCCTAACATGCACTAGATGCTTATAAATACTTGTGGAATTAATAGCTTTCTAATATTACTAAAATATCATAATAAACATAGGGATGTTCTCATCTTCATAATATTGGTTTTATGGAAGATGAGATAATATGCTTTTTTAGTAGAACTTATTTGGCCCAAACTGAAGTTTAGGAATAACATTTAAAGTGATAATATTTATTGAACTTTTTCTATCTACCAGAAATTGTTCTAAGAACTTCATATAAATTTTCATCTTTAATCATCATGGCAACAATATGAGTTGAAAATATTATGATTACTTTTTTATAGATTTTGTATACACTTTAACAAACACATTATCACTATAAATAGATGATACTTGCATACTATTTAATATGTGCCAGGCACAATTCTAATGCTGATCATCTACTGACTCACTTATTCTTGACACTAACATGGCTTATTACATAGTTTCTGTTATTATCCCCATTTTATAGATGAGAAAACTGAGGCCGAGACAGGTTAAGTGACTTGTTCTTAGTGAGTTGGGAGGTTAGGAGATGACTCTTGTAGTCAGGACATAAATCCACACTCTTACTCATTATGCTAAAAAATGCTACATTTTGTAATTAACAGTGCAATGCATGGTCCAAAATAACTGATTATGATTCATGGATACTTGAAATAATAACTAGTAAAGTACTTAGTTGGATCAAGATAAACTCCTGGGAATCGCCTCGCATATTTCGATTTTGCTCATTTCAATCTTTCTTAAACAAGGGAAATCTCATGGAAGATACAGAATTGCCTGACTGAAGGAAGGTTTGTGTGAAATGTTAGGGCTTTAGATTATATCTGTCTTAGCTATTCTCTTGGTTTCATTCTTCTCTTCTTAGTTCTACTTTACAGTCTGTATGGAATGTTTGTTGGATATTAGCCCTGCAAAAACAGGCTTACTGCACTTGGAACTGCTAAAAAATATTATACTATTATGTCTCTGATCTGAAAAATGATTAAAGTTATATTTAGCTTAATAAAAAAATTAACATACAGTTCAGATTTCCAGCCAGTGTACACAAAGCATGGTTCATAAATATTAATACAATATTTGTGTTTTGTGAAACCACACTCACTGGAGATTTCAGATAGTATCATATCTTCTTCAATGTATTGCCTTTTTGTTTGTTAAAGCTGAGACAAAAGTCTAGCTTAGAAACTAAGGGAAATAATATTTACCCATTGTAAAGTTGAAAAAAGAGTGAAGGGAATGCTCAAAAATATGAAATAATAATAAAGCCCACAGTTGATAGATGGAATACATAGCTCTTAAATTTAAGGGGCTCAAATATCCATTTTACAGAGGTTGAAATTGCCATTATACCTTTTTAAAGTATCTTGTTGCTTATTTCCGAGACATTTTCCTTTTTATCTTTCTCATCAATAAATAATAAATTACTTTAAAATAATGGATAGGTTTTAAAGTTCAGTAACATATAATGGACTTTGACAAAGTAATGAGTGATATTTTTACCTTATCGACATTCAGTATTCTGGGATCATAGAAAAGGCAATGGTATTGTAGAACCATGGGGTAAAATCTATTGAAATGATTTAGGTTTCTGATAGGAGTCTGTGCATACCACAATTATAAATGAAACAAATAATTTGTACATACAGACAAGTGTTGAAGAGAAATGGAGACTGGGAACTCCAATTCAACTATCTGCTTTGTCACCATGTGATTTTGTGTCTTTAGGGCATATGGCTTCACATTGCTGGGATTAAACACCTTCATTTATAAAATCATGACTTTGCATTAATTCATTTTCAAGGTTCCTACCAGCTTTAAAATTCTGATTCCATTACTGGTTCAGGATCATGTTTATTTCAGAATCCATTTGCTTGGTTTCAAATTCTATGTTTATATCTTCTTCCTGCACATATGAATTAGGAATAGTGTAATCCTTCAAACACAGGCATCAATCTAAACACAGTCAAAAGTAGGAGAGAGAAAAGACAAGCCATTGAGAGAAAATGTTTGCAAAAGACATATCCGACAAAGGAGACTGTTATCCAAAATATAGAAAGAAATATGAAACTCAGCAATAAGAAAACAACCCAAAACACAAATTAAAAAAAAAAAAAATTGGCCAAAGACTTTTACAGACACCTCACCAAAGAAGATATATAAACATCAAATAAGCATATGAAAAAATGCTATCAGGGAAATACAAATTAAAACAACAGTAAGATACCACTACACACCACAGAACACTGACAACACCAAATGCCAATGGGTACATGCAGAAACAGGAACTGTCATTCATTGTTGGTGGAATGAAAAATGCTACAGATGCTTTGGAAGGCAGTTTGGCCATTTCTTACAAACTAAATCTCTGATCCAGCATCATGCACCTTGGTACTTACCCAAAGAAGCTGAAAACTTATGTCCACACAAAAACCTTCACACAGATGTTTATAACAGCTTTATAATTGCCAAAACTTTGAAGCAACCAAGATGTCCTAGACTAGGTGAATGGATTAATAAACTGTGGTACATTCAGACGATGGAATATTAGCACTCAAAAAATAATTTATCAGGCCGGCTCGGTGGCGCACTGGATAAGTGTGCCGCTTGGGAAGCGCGGCGGCGCTCCCGCCCGAGGGTTCGGATCCCACATACAGACTGGTTCCCGCTCACTGGCTGAGCGAGGCGCGGGAGCGACACCGAGGGTTGCAATCCCGTTGCCGGTCCCCGGTCCAGTACGGGGGCAACACTGAGGGTTGCGATCCGTTGCCAGACACGGAAAAAGACAAAAGACAAAAATAATAATAATAATAATAATAATTTATCGGCTGTGAAGACATGGAGGAAACTTAGATGTATATTACCAAGTGAAATATGCCAATCTGGGGGCCGGCCCAGTGGCGCACTGCTACAGTGCACCGCTTGGGAGCGCAGTGGCGCTCCCGCCGAGGGTTCGGATCCCACATACAGACTGGTTCGGCGGCTCACTGGCTGAGCGAGGTGCGGGCGCAGCACCGAGGGTTGCGATCCCGTTGCCGGTCCCGGTCCCGTACGGGCGCGACACTGAGGGTTGCGATCCGTTGCCGGTCACGAAAAAAGACAAAAAGGAAAAAAAAAAAAGAAATATGCCAATTTGAAAAGGACACCACATACTTTGTAATTCTAACTCTGTGACATTCTGAGAAGACAAAACTATGAAGACAATAAAAAGATCAGTGGTTGCCAGGGGTTGGGGACAAGGAGTAAGGATAAATAAGTGGAACACAGAGGATTTTTAGAGCAGTGAAACTATTCTGTATGATACCATAATGGTGGGTACATGTCATTATATCTTTGTCCAAACCCCTAAAATGTGCAACACCAAGACTGAACCTTAATGTAAACTATGAACTTTGGGTGATAATGTGTGTCAGTGTAGGTTCATTGACTGTAACAAACGTACCATTGTGGCGGGGGAAGTCGATAATGGAGGAGGCTGTTCATGTGTGGGGAAGCGGATATATCTCTGTATCTTCCTCTCAATTTTGCTGTGAACCTGAAACTGCTCTAAAAAAATAGTCTATTTTAAAAAAAAGTAGAAGAAGAAATGCTATGAGACTTACGATATTCTTTGATGCTTACTTTGCATATATTGATTAATTTTGTCAGTCTCCAAATATTACTATAGGAAGATGCTTTAAATTATAATTTAAAATTGTGAACACTGGGTTGTGAAATGTTTTGCACTCTATTTTTTTGTATTTACATGTTTTATATTTATTTTAATATTGTGTTTTTATACATAAAATAAATGTTGTGTTAATAAGTTGCAAGTATAATGCATTGCATCTATTTCTAAACCAGTATGTGTTGAGAACTCTAGTTGTTTGCATGTATCTAAATTGGAGCTTTCACAAAATTATATATTCATTTACAAAGTGAGAAAATATGTTTATTGAGACAAGTAAATATTTTGCTTAATAAGAAGTTTTTCTTTCTTTCCTTCTTTTACTTTCCCGTAGACTTGCTGCTTTCAAATAGCTGTATTCCCTTTCTGGGTTCATCGGAAGGACTGGATTTCCAAACTCTTCTGTTAGATGAGGAGAGGGGCTGGCTGCTCCTGGGAGCCAAGGACCACATCTTCCTGCTCAGTCTGGTTGACTTAAACAAAAATTTTAAGAAGGTTGGTTTATTTATATAAATAATTGATTGAATTTATTTACTTTTATCTGTGCTCCTCTTCTGTTTTAAGTGACTCAATGTCAAATGCAGTAGGTCATTTACATTCAAAAAAGAACATATTGCCTCTGATGTGCATTTTGGATTTTTATGGACGTAAGTACATATACATGTTCTTTATTAAGAGTGAATGAATATAATACTAAAAACCTCTGAAACTATGAATAAAAGGCATCAGAATTAGTAAATATGTACTAGGCTGTGCAGTAGAAAAGCAAAGTTTTGGATTGAAGAAATGGCAAGTGAGTTGGTTATTCACCAAGAATGAATATTTATATCTATAGCAATTGTAAAATTAAGTTTTTATTAACTTTCAGTTAACAAATAAGCATATCTTCAATTCATAGTGTGGCTATGGTAGCATTTTAACACCGTACTGTTTTCTCCATACTGTTATTTTATATCTGAACAGGTTTCTCCAATGGCCCAATCATTCTCAGCTGGTGAAGATTAATGTCCTGACTCATTAAGGACAATCTTAGCACTAAGAAAGGAATATACACTAGGTATTGAAAGCCAATTGCTCTTGTATCTCACCTTACCAACTAGCAGTGTGAAACCCAGAGAAAAGGGTGCCACACTGTAGGCCTTATCAATTATTATTAGCTAGTACTTTAGCAAATATTAATATCTGTGCAAGCAGAGATGGATACCAAGACTGGTAGGGATTAAATAATTGATCAGAAGACACAATATATATAGGGCTGGCTGGTTAGCTCAGTTGGTTAGAGCATGGTGTTATAACACCAAAGTCAAAGGTTCAGATCCCTGTACCGGCCAGCTGCAAAAAATAAAATAAAATAAATAAGACATAATAGATGACCTATTCTGCTTCTATGAGGCTATTCGATTGATTGTTTGGGGGGGGGGGGTTGTTTGTTTATTTATTTGTTTTTACCTTTTTTTCAGAAGCCTTACCAAAAAAAAAAAAAAATTAGGAGGTATCGCAAGGTTTCGAGTTAGTAGTTCCCAATATAAGTTTGTCCCACTCAAAAAGAGTTGTTTATAGGTCATCCTAGGACTTTGGACCTTGAAACTTCATATAGCATTTATTTACAATGCCCACTTTAACTTAATCCTCTAATTTTGAGGTGCTTTTTGTAACTAAATATCCATTGCTCAGTTATTGGAGTATTATATGTTCTTAGGACTTTAGTGTGCATATGCGTTGATATCGCTTAATTGATTCCTGCATTCAAAGGATGTTTTTTGCTTTATAATCATTTGATTTTTAAGTAGGTCTTCTGCAAATTTTTGAAGTCTACTGAAGGAAAAAGAGTTATTTCTTATGAATGCTCAGAATTGATAAAAAACAATCCTCAAATGAAAATCTGTGTTCCTGGAAGAAAAAACAAGGGCTAAAATATTGCCATAGTTGTTTTTGACTTCTGTTCATAGAAACACACTTAGAAACTCTTAAGATTAGCTTTTGCTAAAATAAATAAATAAATAAATAAAGTTATCCTGTAGCCTGGATATAGATTAGAGTAAGGTAAAATTAGCAGTTGAGAGTGTGCTAGAATTTGAAACCCTCCATTCTGACATTATAGCTTCATTCCATTTTTCTTAAGGCTGAATTGTTTTCTTTAGTAATTTATTTTTAAAGAACTGATACTCCTAGAAGAGCTGATTGATGGTATCAAGTAATATCTCAATTGCCAGTAAATGTCTAAGAAGGGATGACACTTTTTATGAAAGAGGCCAAAGAAAAGTCTTGGCTTTGCAGTCTTGCTTTAAGAGATGCTACATAGTTTAAAAGGCATTTTTTTCAAATAGGTCCGTTTTAGTATAATAACAAAAAGCAATTCATACTTTTAAAGTAATTTGTTCTTGTTCTGTTCTCTGCCTTCAGGGATTGGGGGAAAGTCTATTTATCTGAAGTCAGTGTATTAGATCATTGCTTAAAATACATTCTGATAGCAGAACTTTCTTCTGTGACTATTTTAAGCAAACTCTCTTTGGCTATATTCCATGCTTGAAATGTGCTAATATTTAATAAAGTAAATGTTTATGAAATATCAATTTCTCTTATGATGTTATTGAAGTAAATGGCTATTTGAATACATTATAAAATTAGAGATTTTCTACATAACTGATACTTCTTTATATTTCTATAAAATGTATAATTCATAAGAGGGTTATGTACTCAATGGTAACAATTTATGTTTATATAGGTACCTACCATTCCAATTTCTATAAATCACTCCTGTGTTAAAAGGAACTCCACAGTAGCTAGTAAGTGTCAAGATGTAGTACTTTAGCAGTGTTTAGACCTATGTGGTTTGCATTGGCTCAGCGCCCCTCGGCAGAGATCCAAACTCCTCTGTGGAGGAAACCACACATGTTGGGACTCTGAGGGGCTGAAGGGTGTCCTTTGTACTCTTTAGAGTTAGAGCAATCGACAACACATAATTGAGTTATGAGTGACTGGTTGGGAATTTTCTCCCCTGGGAAATTTTAAAAAAAGAAAAAAATCTGTGGGAAATACTCAATTGAAGTAACATATATATTACTCTCATCAATTGGCATGGTGTTAGCTTAGAATAAAAGACACCTAACTTGGACTGGTAAAAAATTAAAAAAAAAAAAATTATTATATCATATAATAGGAATAATGTCCAGAGTCTGGGTGGCTCCAGAGATGGTAATATCATCTGCTTAACGATGTTATCAAGGACTCAGTTCTTTCTGTCTCTGTCTGCCAGTCTTGTTGTTGGCGTTATCCTTAGGTTGGTAGCAAGATGGCTGCAACAGTTTTAATGTCACATAACAAGGAAATGAGTAGGGGAAAAAGATCATCACTTTTTATGTATCTTTCTTAGGAGCAAGGAAAACTTTTGCGGAATCTTCCTTTACATCTCATTGGCCAGAAATTCATCAATTCCAACTCCCAAACTTGCAAGGGGGTTAGCATAACAATGATTTGTTTATATAAATCATCCCAAGTGAAAGGAGTGTTCAGGAACCAATCACATTGATCGCTACCCATACAGAAAGGGAGTAGAAAACAAACTTTCCTAGAAAAGTAATTTACTTAGAGGACTGGCTTTTTCACTTTAACATGGTAGCCCTAGGCAAACATTAAAGTTTTCTCAGCCAGTCACGAAGAAGTATAAAGATTTTCTAGTTCTACAAGGAAATTATCTGGAAGAATTTATTTTTCTTTCAGGAGATAGCTTTGAAAAAATATTTACTGTCAGTAAAAATCTTTGAAATAATGTATTTTAAAAAAAATCTTCGAAATAATGTATTTTTCCCCACCCTGCATGGTAAAAATTGAAAAATTTGCTAACCTTCACCAATACTTCCGTTGCTTATATAAAAGTTCATTTGCCTCTGTAAAAGTTCTCTGTTTCTTAATTTAATCTAAGCTTTATGAAATCTGGTCTGCCGCAGATCTCTTCAATTTTGGTGATATTATTTAAGTTTTCTCCCTTTAATATTGTAACTATTTTAAGGAGTGACATTGCTGGAAAGGAATAGATTATAATTTAGGTCAAAGAATTAAAGAATATATCATTATTCTGTAGTAATAGCATTTAGCATTTTCTACTAAATATTTCATGGACAGAGAACATATTTTAAAAACTCAAATAACTAAATATGACAAGTGTCATTGGATATATTTCTTAGCAGAATTGTATATTTAAAATGCTACTTTTATTGATTTGGTTTTGTCAGTCTTTAAGCTTGAAACCATTTGGGATAATTTTTTAGTGACTGCAATTTGAATAACTTTTTAAAAATTTTGTTCTTCTACTTTACTCAGTGGGTTTTATTTTATTTTTTTCTTTTCTTTCAACAAATGTCCATTGTCTACTGTTGGCAGTAAGAATGTTGTAATAGAATATAAAACTTAGGTCTTGTCACTGCTCATACCCTAGTAAGAGAGACAAAGCGTAACGTAGTTACAGGACAAGTCAGAAAATGTTTAAATGTCCAAAATAATGAGACATATCACATATCATAGGAATTGGGGATGGGGAAAAAATCACATGTTGTGCATGGATTTGAACTACTAGTTCAAGATACATGAGCAGAATTTGGATTAGTGTTTACTGGTTTTTTTAAATGGTTTACATTTGAATTTGGAACTTGGGGCTTATTGTTATTTCGCTGTTCAATTAGGATGGGTAAAAACATGTTTGAGAAATGGAGCAGAAGAAAGTTTATTCTTTCTTCCGTGTGTAGCTCTCTGAGTTTAAGCTAAGGGAAGTGGATTTTTCTACCCGAGCCCTTAACTTCCTACCCTCTCTCTCAAGTCAGAGGAAGTATGTAAAAGAACTTTAATAGTCCCTGAGAAAGGTGGTCCACTGTTGATGGACATTTACATTCATTTATCATTCATTTATAAGTGATGCATTAGAAACCTGTTCTGTGTACACATTATAATAATAAAAATGTTCGACATTTGTTCAATATGGTTTAAGGACCTATGGTTTCTAAACAAATGATTCTAAACTACATTATATCTGTCATTTTGACTGCAAGTGAACATTCTCTACCTCAACTAGCCTTAAGTAGTCCTAGCAATAATTCATGTAAAATCCAGAGCTCTCTCCATATAAACTTCAGGACTAATATATACAAGCTGAAAGGCTCCCCCTTCTTCTTTCTCAGTCTTTTTCTAAATGGAGTCATACTTGATAGTGTAAAAAAAAAAAAAAAGAACCAAAAAACAATCCACTACTCTATTTGGTTATGTTACTTAGCTAGACTTCTGATTTAATGAATTGTTGGGATCCTTCCATCTGAAAATGTTACTTATTTTGGAAGAAGTTCAAACCTGCATGGGTAGAATGAGTCTCTAAAGCATGATGCAAGCACAGGTCACAAAAACAATGATTTATTAAACTGACTACTGCTTTTGTATCCACATTACTCAAGCATTTGTTTCTTGATTTTCTTTATTTTTTCTTTCTATCTTTGTTTTTTTTTTTTTTA